TGGTCCCTCCACGTCCCGGCCTTTTTTCTTAGTGTGGAACACATGGAACGAGCCCTGTGTGGGCCTTACTTATCTTGGTTTTGGCCATCTTGTAACTCTGATGCCAGTTCCCAGAGAGCTGGGATTCTCGTCAGTTTTGCTCTTTGCTGTATGAACAGTGCATAGCACGTAGTAGGGCCTCAGATGTCTGTAAAATGAGGGAATGAATTGAGCACTTACTCTGTGCAAAGTGCTTTACATGCATTTTCTCACGTAATCTTCCCAGCAGCACCCTGATATTGGTACGATTATCTTTCCATTCTTTAGGGGAAATGGAAAACCCAGGCTCCGAGAGGTGGAGTAGCTTGCCCAAGGTCTCCTGGCGGGGATTCACATCGAGGCCATCAGGCTCCCGAGCCCTCCCGCCCTAACCCCCGATGCTTTGCCCCAGCTGCTGAGCTGAGAAGTTTACCTTCTGTCTGTGGGGCCGCAGGGAGGAGGCAGCCGACCCGGAGATCAGATCCAGGTCCCAGATTGCTGCAGCAGGTTAGGTGTGAGGTTGGAGGCAGGGAGGCCAATTAGGAGGCTGTGGCAGTCATTGAGGCAAGCGGGGATAAGGACGAGGGCCTGGGGGTGGCCATCCCAAGGTGGAAGGTGGGCTGGCGGGGACTTGACCCTCCATGCTGGGGCTCGGAGTGGGTGGGTTGGGGCACAGTTCTGTTTCTGGGTAGCTAGGACACCCCTAGTTAGGACCCAGCAAGTTGGGCTGGCCTCCTGGCAGGGAGGGGGGCACCGAGAGGGAGCCAGGGGAGCTGGTTGGGGGCACAGTGCTGGGCCACGGGAAGGGCCATGAGCCTCGGGTTCAGTCCTGCTTCTGCCCCAGGGAGACCTGGGTGAGGGGCTGCTGCTCTTGTAGTTGTGTTTCCTCATCAGCAAAGTGGGATGATGATAGTGCTGGCCTCATGGAGGCTCTAGAAAAAGAAGCACGGGGCACCTGTGCGTGGCATAAGGCCAGCTTGGGGGTCGCCACCTTGGGTGTGAGGTCATGACCGCAGGGAGGCATGCCTGGGGTGCGGAAATAATCGTGTGCCCCTTGCTGGGGACAGCAGGGCCTGGGTATGAGAGACTAAGCGTGGCATGGTGGCCTCCTGCTTAAAATTGACCTGACTACGTTTTCAGACACCCATCCCACCCCATCCCACCCATGGGCTTGTGTTCAAGGCCTGCCATGTCTTGGCCTCAGTTTCCCTTTCTGTTAACGGAGACATTAGTGGCGCGCCTGGGTGGCTCCGTCGGTTGAGCGTCCCACTTCGGCTCAGGTCGTGATCTCACCGTTCGTGAGTTGGAGCCCCGCGTCGGGCTCTGTGCTGACAGCTCGGAGCCTGGAGCCTGCTTCGGATTCTGTGTCTCCCTCTCTCTCTGCCCCTCCCCCCGCTCATGCTCTGTCTCTCTCTGTCTCAAAAATAAATAAACTTAAAAAAAAAAAATTAAATGGAGACATTGGTATCAGTCCCGTGCTACGTTCTCTGGAAGAAAACTTTTTCCTCCGTTTTCTCGTGACCAAATTTAAGAGGAACACATATGATGCCCCACGAGGTTGCTTCTACATCCATTTATGGATGGGGGAAGCTCAGTCAAGTTCAGGGGGGTTAAGTGACTCTCTCCAGGTCACACAGCTATAACCTAATCTTTCCAATTACCTCAGGAAACCCACGTTTATAAAGGAAGCCTCAGGGGTCACCTGCCTGTGTTACATAATAATTCCATGCAGGTCTCCTGGGTGCTTTAAAAAATTTTTTTTTTCAACATTTATTTATTTTTGGGACAGAGAGAGACAGAGCATGAACGGGGGAGGGGCAGAGAGAGGGAATCACAGAATCGGAAACAGGCTCCAGGCTCTGAGCCATCAGCCCAGAGCCCGACGCGGGGCTCGAACTCACGGACCGCGAGATCGTGACCTGGCTGAAGTCGGACGCTGAACCGACTGCGCCACCCAGGCGCCCCTCCTGGGTGCTTTAAATGCGGGGTTTATTTATAAGCTCTTGGTTTACACAGCTGGTTTCAGGACCCTCTCCCCACCTGGGAACCTCATGAGTGAGAACTCGCAGGCATATCTGGACAGGCCAAGAACCTCCACGAAGAAATGACGCTGGGCGAGGGGAGAAGGGAGGAGGACCGGAGGGCTGCTGGCTGTCCTGCTCCCCGGTATCGACCTCAGATCCCGGGTGGGTGCCGAGGGGTAGGGACCCTGTGTGCAAAGGCACACCTGGGCCTCTGGAGCCTTCAGTGGCTTCTAGGGCTTTCTCCCCCACCCTTCTCTCTAACCTACCCAACCCGACCCGTAAGGCCAGCGGGGACGCTTCCCAACTTTGCCTTCTTCCAGATCCCTTGTGAATACCCCAGCTCTCGTGACCCCCATTTGGGAGCTGAGAAAATAGAGCCTCGTAGCGGGAGAGCGGTGCGCTGGGGCTCACACTGTTTAGGGAGCGACCAAGCTCAACCCCAAATCTGGCACCCCTTCCTGGGCACCCACCATCCTGCCGTCATCAGAGCAGGGTGGGCCTATGGCCCAGTCTCTGCGCCCTGCTCTCCCGAAGGAGAGGCTGTCGGGTCCTGCTTGACTACCTGCTGTGGCAGTGGCTCACCCCTTCCTGAGGGGACGGGGGGGGGGGGGGGGGGGCCGCGGCCCCCGGGAATGTGCGTCCGCGAAGGAGCTGGGGTGGGGAGGGCCAACGGGGCTTCTCCTGGGCTAATGGCGGGGTTGGGGGCCCGAGTGGGACCAGGAGAGGAGACGAGCAGCTTGACCTGGGCACTGAGCTGGGCTGCTATGGACGTCACCAAGCAAGTAAATATGGAACCACCCCCACAGTGTCAGCTTTCCCAGAGTGGCTTCTCCCACTATCTGTCACTTTCCCCAAGGGAAAGGGGTGAAGACTGGGAAGGGATCCTGCTGCCCGATGCTCGGGGGATAGAGATGGACGGCCTGGGAGGCTCTGGGGCGGCTGAGGGGCATGGGGAGTGGCCCACTGGACCCTCCCCCCCAGCAGGGAGTGAGCCTCTCGTGAGGGCAGCTGACTGGGACCCGGCCCAGGTGGACTCAGCGTTGTCATGGCCCGAGGTACGGGGAAGTTGGGCTCTGGTGGGCGGAGGTAGGGGGAGGTGGGAGGAGGCAGGGGGAGGTGGGGGGAGGCATTTGCAAGCTGGGACCCCGTCCGCGACCTCTCCGCAGCCGGGCCATTCATTGCCCCAACCCACCAGGGCAGCATTTTCCCAGGGTGGTGCAAGGCACCTCCCCAGACAGCTGCACCCTAGAGAAAAGGCCAGAGTCTCGGTGAGGCTGGGGGGGGCGGGGGGGGCAGGTGAAGAGGTCAGAGGCTCAAGGTGTCCCAGGGACTGGGGGGAGCAGGGTCCTTAGACTGCGGGAGGGGAGGCCAGAGGGGTGAAATCTTCAAAGGAAATCCGCCAACTTAGCATCCAGGGGAAGAATTTACCCCCCAGAAAGGACCTGGGGTCTTGGGTGGAGGAAACGCAGAAAGGGAGGAGCCAGGGCCAAGTTTCAGGCTGGGTGATCCCGGGGCCTCTGTAAACACCAGCAATAGCCAAACTTGAACGAAGCCTGTAAGTGTGGCCGGGCCCTTCCTGAAGCAGTGTGCCGCCTGGATCATGCCGGTGTTATTCGCTGCCACTAACAGAGAAGAAAGTGAGGCCCCGAGACGTGAAGTGACTTACCCAAGGCCCCACACCTGTGAAAGGCAGAGCTAGCACTTGAACCCAGGTCTGTCTGATTCCGGAGGCTGAGCTCTTCTCTACTGCGTGGGGCTGCATCGCTGTTACTCCAAGGGAACTGCTCTTGGCGGCTGTGCTGGGAAGGAGGGTCGGCTGGAAAAGTTCCTGGGCCCAAGCACCTGCCCCTGTGATGCTGGGTAGTCCTGAGAAAGTACAGCGTTGGCCGGGCCGCTCATCCTCTCTGTGCCTCTGTGTGCTCGTCTGAGAAATGGGGCCACATAGCACGGGTGCTGCCCATGTTACAGGGTTGTTGGGCCCTTCCCGGCCAATATTTGGGACAGCAGATCGGGGAGTGCCCCTTGGGCTCTGGAGGACCAAACATAAACACATGATTCGATGGGCCCCGAACCCAAAGAGAGGGTGGTCTGCTAGACCTCTCCCCATCTCTGGGCTGTGTGTTACTGGTGTGCAGCGAGGTAGGTACAACATTGAGAGTAAGTGATGAAAAACTCCTACTGCAACTTGACATTGCTGTGTCATTCTTTATTGTAACTTACAAAAGCATCAGTTGGCAACAGATTGGAAAACTTAAAAAAAAAAAAAAATCTCTTTCACAAATAGCGTGAGGAGCTCTGGCCCAGATCGTAACTGTGATTGAAAGTGGGAAGTGCCCTACTTGCTCAGGGATGTGGCGGGGAGGGGAGGGGTGGGAGAGGGAGAGCCCGTTAGGCTTCCTGGAAGAAGCGACATAGAGCTGGACCTCGAAGGGAGAGTAGAAGTTTGCCAGGTGGAGGAAGAAGGCAGGAAAGTTCGGGCCCTGGGAACAGTATGTGCAAAGGCAGACGACCTGAGGATCGGGTGGTTCAGGGACGTGGTCTTGGGTGTTTGCGAAAAGGTAGAGGAGATAGTTCCGGGAGCCCGACCGGGAGGGCCTTGAATGCCAGGCTGAGTCAGGACTTGAAGACTATTCTGGAGGCGGAGGTCCTGAGGTGGGAGATAAAGTCACAGCTTAGGAGGTGCTTTAAACGACCGAAGGGGCCATCCAAGTGGTGTTTCCTTTCGGTCTTCAGCCTCCAGGAAGGCAGTTTCTTGGTGCCCAGTGGGGTAAGTTGTTGGTGAGCCGGCCTATCCTTGTCCCAGTTGAGGCAGCCAGCCCCATGATTCTGCTGGTGCCTGGTGGCCCCTGGGTCCCTTCTGGCTGGACGGGCAGGCAATCAATCCTCAGGTGTGAGCAGCAGGCCTTCCCAGGCTGCTCTGGTCAGTGGGTTGGCACCTGTTGTGGCTGGCTGGCCATGATGGAGCCTTCGTGTCCCCGCTGCCTGATGCTACCGTGCTATGAACTGTCAAAGGGGGTGTCCCGGCCGCCCCCAAGGAGTCCAGAGCCATGCCAGGGAATGTGGGCAGGAGGAGGGAAGGCCGAGGTCTGAGGCTGAGGTGGGGGGTTGACCAGGCACTGGGCGCGATGGCGTGGGGTCCGAACAGGAGGTGAACAGTGGACAGCCGCCTGAAGTGGCTTCCTGCACCCACCCTCTGCTGGGTCAGGGCTGAGGCCTGCGGGTGTGGCTTGAGGAGTGAACTCTTGGTTGAGGCGATGACGGACGGTGGGTGTCCCATCCGGGGCTAGCCAGGTGAGTGTCGCTGCGGTGGTCTCAGCCTGGGGAGGAGAGGAGCCAGCCCGCCCTGTCTGGGGGCTGCTGGGAACAGCCCGTGGTGTGCCCGGGCCTGCGTGTGGCCACAGGTCCGGGGAGAAGGCTGGCCTGTGGGGAGGAGAGAGAGCTGTGGGAGGCCCCTCTCCTGCCCGCCCCACCCACACCCTCTTCTGGGGCCCCCCCCCCCCCCGTTCAGAGAGGCCCAGCCTCCTGCTCCCTCCCTGCAGCTCCCTGTAGGCTGGGCCCCCAAGCCAGCGGCAGGCAGGACTGTCTGGCTGCCATTTAGCGGGGAGTCCAGCTGCCCCGGATCCTGCGGGATGGGGCCGGGGAAGGGGGGGGTGCGGGGATTTGCAGCCTGCCTAGGTGCTGGCTGTAGGACCAGGAGTCCCTGAGGGGCTCTGGTTTTGACAGTGGCCTTGGTTGTATCTGGAGGCTTAAGGCCTGAGTCCTTGGACCTCTGGGGCTCTCTCTGCCTTGGGCTGGTCCCACACTGGACTCAATACTTGCCACAGCCCTAGGGTCCCCCTGGGGTGGCAGAGGGAGGCTCTGGGGCAGCCCTCCCTCAGGCTAGAGCTGGCGCTTTTCACTGTGAGCACCAGGTGGGACCTCCTTGCTTTTCAGTGGCCCCTCTCCCGGATCAGATCCTCCAAGGCTATGCCCCGGGCCCAAGGGCAGGTCCGGCCCTTTGGCCCACTGCAGCCGGTCATGGCTGCTCTGTGACTGAGCTTTGCTCTTCCTCCTTTGGTTTCCTTTTGCGGATCTGTCACCTGCCTCTGCCCCAGTTCCCTGGCTACCGGTGAGGCAAGGGCTCACTGGCCTGGCTCCTGGAGTCCCCTCCCCCAGTTTCAGGTAGAAACCGCACTCTTCCTTGGCACCTGCCAGTGGCTCCCTGCCCTCTCTGAGCACCCTGGCCCTTGGCCCAGGACAGTGGCCAAGAAAGGCTCCTCTGCTATTTCAGACTTCCTCCTGTCTCCTCGCACGTCCTTGTCTCTGTCCGCCTGGAGGATCCTTCTGTGTGTTCCTTCCTGGTCCCTGCCTGGGGCCACAAACGGGCCCCTTTCTGGCTGTCTCTGGGCTTCAGATTTGCAGCAGGTCTAGCTGCTTTTGGAGCTCTGTCGTGGCCACCTTCGTTCCTCAGTGCCCTGTATCCGTGGCCTGGATGGGGCCGTACGTTTTGTGGGAGCCCACAAAGAGACCATGTGGACGATGTCTCATTTGAGCTACGCAGCCGGCTTGGGAGTTAGCCACCCTCCGCCCATTGTGCAGAGGAGAGGGTTGAGGTGCCATGGGGCTCAGTGACTTTGTCAGGGTCTCTTAGGAGAAGTCAAGGGCAGGTGCCGGGACTCAGACCCATGTCTCTTGGCTCTTGTCTCGATCTCATTGCTGTCTTGCCAGGTGAGGTAAGAGCTTCATTGACCTTTGCTTTTTATATTGTCGGGGGTCAGAGGCTGGCTGGGGCTGGGGCTCAGCCTGTTGTGGATTAGGGCTCACCATGCGGCCACGGCCATGGCCATGGCTTGGGCTCGGTGTCACAGGGGCAGTCAGCTTCATGAGCATTTCTTCTCCTCCTCCTGTCCTGAATTCTTGTCCCCAGCGTGAGGTCCTCCCAGAGACACAGCCCCTACGCTGGGAGTCTGAGGCTAACACTAGGCATGCTGGCCGGTGGCTGGGGGCTGCTGGGACTGAGAGCCTAGAGCTAGGAGTCCCTGGGAGGGAAGGGGGGTGGAGAGACTGGCCTGTGCGTCTCTGCCTAAGTCACAGTGAGGGTCCACGGCCTCTCCCTCCTCTAGCGTCCGATGCTCTGTGCTTCCTTAAAGCCACTCTTGGTGCAGGAAGAATAAGGGCTTTGCTCCTACTGCCCTGATAAGGCTCTGAGGTTCCGAAGGGCCAGCTAACCCACCTACCCTTGTTTTCACGGTTTTTCGAATCCCTCCACCCCAGTGTGGATGCTTTCATACTTCCAGGGACAGGGAGTTCACTGGTTCCCCAGGCAGCCCACCGTGTCTTTTCTTATATTGTTTTACTAAGTTTTAATCGTGTATGGAATATACAAATGTACCTTTTCGTTGCAAAAACGTCAAATATTATTTAAACAGCTAAGTATTCTCTTCCTGGATAACCACAACATTCCAGCCTCCTCTGCAGGGTTAATCATCACTGTTAGTACTTTGGCATATAGCCTTCTGGATATTTTTCTATGCATCGACACACAGAACCTGTAGGAATATGTGCCTTTGTAATGGGTACGTGTGTGTGTGTGTGTGTGTGTGTGTGTGTGTGTGTGTGTGTTCAAACAAATGGTTACGGATCATTCGGTCAATGCTTTTCTCACTTAACATTGGATCTAGGAAATCTAGTCATGGTTTTGCATAGTAAACTACTGTAATTGTTTTTTCCTCCCTCCCTCCCTCCCTCCCTCCCTTCCTACCATCCTTTCTTCCTTCCTTCCTTCCTCTCTTCCTTCTCTCTTGCTCCATTCTCTTAATGAAAGGCATTTAGGTTAATTCTGATTTTTTTTTTTAATTTTTTTTTTCAACGTTTATTTATTTTTGGGACAGAGAGAGACAGAGCATGAACAGGGGAGGGTCAGAGAGAGGGAGACACAGAATCGGAAACAGGCTCCAGGCTCTGAGCCATCAGCCCAGACGCGGGGCTCGAACTCACGGACCGCGAGATCGTGACCCGGCTGAAGTCGGATGCTTAACCGACTGCGCCACCCAGGCGCCCCAGGTTAATTCTGATTTTATTCTTCTGCCTTCCTGGGCTTACCTAGAGTAGCTATACTGCTGGGTACGGGAGCCTGTTGCATTTTAAAAAAAAATTTTTTTAACGTTTTATTTATTTTTGAGACAGGGAGAGACAGAGCATGAACAGGGGAGGGTCAGAGAGAGGGAGACACAGAATCGGAAGCAGGCTCCAGGCTCCGAGCTGTCAGCACAGAGCCCGGCGCGGGGCTCGAACTCACGGACGCGAGATCATGACCTGAGCCGAAGTCGGCCGCTTAACCGACTGAGCCACCCAGGCACCCCGCCTGTTGCATTTTTTAAATGCTTATTGCACGATATTTAAAGTCTGTCCACTGAGACTTTGCACGGAACCAAATGTCACCCTGTAGTTCCCAAACTATTCCCGTGTCTCTTCTTTAGAGCCGGGGGAAAGGGCTACTCTCCTGTCCTCTGCCAAGTCCCCAGAGAGCTGCCGACGGTAGCCACGGGCCCTGGACACTTTTCTCCTTCACACTTGGGTTTTTCTACCCTTACTCAAAGGACGCGTTTTTGAGTGACCCGTCTCTTGGGTGGCTGTTGTGGCAAGTGGGCTCTTGGTGGCCTTCAAATCTTGGTGGTTCTGGGAAATCTCCTTCACCTCTCTGCGCCTCAGTTCCAGCCTCTGTAAAATAGAGGTGACAATTGCATCTGCGTCACGGGGCTTCTGTGAGGACAAAGAGGCGAACGCAGGTAAAACGCAAAGTGTTGTGTCAGGCACCCAGCAAAATCCCAACAGTGCTCTATTCCGAGGTCTCGCCGGTATAGCTGCGTTCCTCACCCCTGCGGACGGGGGCCTGTGCTCCCGGTGGGCAGCCTGGGATGACTCCAGCCTTTGCAAAGGTCTCATCCCCCTGTCCACTCGCTGATTTCCCAGAGGAGGCTGCTGCCTGGGAATGCAGCGGGTAATTGGATTTCTTCCCAGCTTGGCCCTGCAGGTCCTGGACCGGGGCCTACGGGGAGGGAAGGAGGTCAGCCTGACCCTTCGCTCAGTGGTGGTGGCCGGGAGCCTGGTAACGTAACCCCACACCTCGGGCAGATTTACCGGCTCTCAATGGGGCCCGTTGTGGCCGGGGATTTGATCTCCCTTAGCCTGCAGGGTGGGCAGGAGAAGAAAGCAGCTTGGGGCCAGCCTCTCCCCGGAGAGCCCTGGGGCCCCTCTGGGCCACACTGGCTGGTCCAGGCATGGGTCTGCCTTTCAGCTCCCAGGGCAAATCTCTGCAGGTGATTTATACTTAGCGCTGGAAATATGGCGCGTTTGCTTTTTCCTCACCTCCTCCCCAGCCTTCAAGGTCTAAACCACCTCCGATGCCATCATCTAATCAGCTCGTCACAGCCACCCGTGAAACGCGTGGCCCGGCCAAGGCCATTTCACGGATGCAGACACCGAGGCTCAGAGAGGTTAAGTGACTTTCCCAAAGCCGCACAGGTAGCCGCCGCTGGAGTTGAGACTATACCCAGGCTGTCTGGCTTCTTGTTCAGTTCTTTTTCGTGAGGCCACCCAATGTGACAGTCTTGGCAGAAGGTGCCTAGCTGGGCAGGCCTGCTTGACCTCTTTCCCTTCGGTCAGTGGCATGTGCGGTCAGTGAGCACAGAGGGTTGGGATTATTTCCTAAGAAGCGAGAAGCACCGTAGCTGGCCCGGGGCCCGGCCCTTCCCCAGCACCAGGCACAAACCCTCTCCGTCGCTAGAGGTGCAGGGGGACAGAGTGTGGCTGCGTCAGCTGTGGCCATCTGTCCCGCTGGGGCGGGGGCTTGCTCTCTCAGCCTGTCCTGTGGGGTGTGGGCAGGGGGCCACAGCAACCCTCGGGACGTTGGGTGCTCCTGCCAGGGAGGCAGGAGAACAGCCATCATCGGGCCCATTTTAAGACCGGAGAAAGCAAGGCTCGGAGAGGCCCGGGGGCTGCTCTGAGCTGGCAGCTGGCAGAGGGGAAACTCGAACCCCACCTCCTGATTCTAGCTGTAGAACCCTTACCAGTCACGCTTTTGGGTCACACCAAAGGCACTGAGCTGGCCTAGCTCTGAATTACGAGCGTGGCTGATGCGGGCTTGGGTCCTGGGTCATGAATGACTTCGTATTTATTGAGCACTTACTATGTGCCTGGTGCTATTCCACGTGTCGACCTGTAACATTTCACTCAATCTTCAGACCAACCCCATGGGGTAGATACCATTATTATCGTCCACTGACAGAGGAAACCGAGGCCCAGAGAGGTTATGTGACTCCCCAGAGTCATACGGGGGTGAACCTGGGATTTGAATCCCAGCGGTGTGGCTCCAGAGGTTGTGTGCGAACCACCACAATGCTTCTTGTGGCCAGGAGGACCCCCAGGGCAAAATACACCTGCCTGGCTCTTGGTGGTGCCGATGTACAGCACGGCAGGTGCTTGGTAAAAATGTGTCAAGTGAATGACTCCATGAATGACTGAGGCTTTAGACAAGCAACTCAGTCTTCCTGGATGTCAGTGAAGTGAATACCAAGCCGCCGTTCTTCCAGCATCGAGGGGAAGGGCCCACTTAGCATGTTGATATTTGAAAGTGCTGACGAGCTCAGGGCTTGGGCCGTGGCAGCTCTGGTCCCTCTGAGGGGGGACAGTGCCACTGAGCTGCTCTGAACCGTGTCCTGGGAGTGAGCGGTGCTGCCCTGAGCTGTCGCACTGGCCCTCAGCTGCCTGCCCCGGGGGGCTCAGCTGCATGGGTGGTGGTGGGGTGTCACCTGTGACGGGCCTTGGGCTTCCTCTGGGCCAAGCCAGGGGCCAGAGGGGCTGAGGGTGAGCACTGTGACTGCGTCCGTGCGGGACCCTTGCATTCCTAACGAACACTCACAGCCTGCTGGGTGATTCGTGTGCACGCGCGCGCGTGCACACACACACACGTCTTCTTGTCAATTTCCCAGGCCCGTTTCTTCCCCAGGCTCCCGAGGCGAGGTGACCCCTCCCGGGTTCCCACAGGTCTGGAGCAGGATTCTGCCTTCTGAGGAGCCTCTCCAGGTGCTCACATGTTCCCTGTAGGTTCCAGAAGTGTGGGCGGATATCAAACATAACCAGATCGGGGGCCCCAGGAGGTCTCCGGGGTGACTTCCGCCTCGGTGCCCCTGCAGGTAGGGAATCCCCCTCCCACTCAGATTTGCTGTCTTTGTAAATAGTTTTGACAGCAGGTTCCCTGCAGTGGGACTCGGGAGATGCAGTTTCATCCTAAGCTCTGCCACTGGTTTGCTGTGTGGCCTTGAGTAAGTCCCTTCCCCTCTCTGGGCCTTGGCGCACAGCCCTGTAAAGGGAGACCATGGGGCTCGCTTTTGTCTGCTGTTCTGTTCCTCCATTACGGGGTACGATTTTATGCCGCATTTTCTCAACCCCTTTTTAAGACACTAGGATATTGGGGACCCTCCACCTTGCCACGCAGGGACAGCGGGGCTTGGTTCTGGTATTGACTAGTCGTGAGACGGTGAAGAGCATGTGGTAGGACTTGCCAGGGAATCCCCGCTGGGTCCACTGCCCTCGGGCCACCCTGCGCCCCCTAAGTCGGCCGGCCAACCCCGGGGTGGCGGCCGGGGCCGGCGGAAGTGCAGCTTTTGGAGTTCATGAGATCGGGGTTGGAACTGGCTTCGCCCTGGACCTTTGGCCACCTACCTGAGCTCTCAGCACATTCATTCCTCACCTGGGAAGGCTTGGGGTTGACAGGATGAAATGCTTGAACTTCTCCCCAGCAGGCCCCCGGCACTTAGCAGGTCCCCAGCGGCAGCCATGTGGGTCTGTGGAGTGTGGTGAGGCGGGGGTCAGCGATGGTTCCGGAAGGCCTGCCAACGGCCCTGGAGGCTGAGTCCAGAAATAGAAGACCCCAGAGACAGAGGCTCCTGATGGCCAGGCTGGCCTCTGCCAGCCCCTGGGAGGCCACACTGAGCTGGCAGCGTGGGCCTTCCCTCCCTCCTGGCCCTGTTGGCTGCATAAATTACTCGGCAGCCTTTGGGCTAATTTTACCTTCTTGGTTTTCATGAATCATTTCCCATCCGGGGGCGTGTGAGAGAAATGGAAACAGCTCTGCCAGCTGGATGCCCCAGCGCCAGCCGCAGTGCAGCGCCTGTGGTGAGACCTCTGCTTGCGTGCTTGCAGGGGTGAGGACGGGACCCCTGGGGACCCCACCAGGGGCCCCCGAGGGCTCGCTCCTTCCAGCCGTGTCCCTGTACCTTCGGGGTATCATGACTTGGAGTAAAGGAGCCCCAGCTGGTCCCGGACCTGGAGCTGGGGCTGAATGGAAAGGAATTTGGCGTTGAGTGACCTTGCCGTGACGGCCATCGAAGGTCTGTTTGGACCTCAGCAGAGAGGTGGTTAACAGAGAGCCCCCGGTGGCGCCGGGGGCCTGTTTGTGATGAGCTCCAGGAGTTCGCCCGAATGCTGACTTTTCCTAGTGACAGAATACCAGAGCTGACAGGTCCTGACAAAGTCAAACCTAACCACCTTGGATGAACTGGGGCCCGGACCGGGGGAAGGAATTTGTCGAAAGTCTGTCCACCGGTGGAAGAGGTCAGGCTAATGGTTATTTGCGGACAGCTTACCCCTTCGCTCACGAAACCCTGTTTGACTGTTATTATTCCCATCTTCCGGAGGGGTAGCTGAAGGCACAGAAGGGAACGTAACTCCCCACCCCCCACAATGATACACTTGTGAGCGGTGGGGAATAGTTCATGCCGAGCCGTCTCACCCCAGAGCTCACGTCCCGACTTCCAGACCACGCTGCCTCTCGGAGTGGGGTTGCTGGGTGGCTCACACGCGCTCGTTTGCTTCTTCCACTCTGCAAGTGTGTGTTGAGCCCCTGCCAGGTACCAGGAACGGGGGACTTGGGAGCAGCCCGAGTGGACAGAGCCTGGGCGGCTGGTGAGAGCCCACCCCTGCGCCCCATCTCACCCGAGTCTGGGTTCTCAGAGGACAGCGTCCGCCCAGCACTGCGGTCCCAGCCACGTGGCCGTGAACTCGGATGCCGGGCTGGGCAGGGAACACGGCCGGCTGGGGCCGTGGAGCGTAGGCATTGGAGCCCATCGGAGCAGGGCCCCCACCACCCAGCTCCGGCAAATTCTCGCCATGTGGAACCACCTGCCTGCTGTTGCCAGTCCTTCTGATTTTCCAGCAAAGCTGAACATCGTGTTTTTACAGCAGATCTTCCGTTTCTTCAGAGTTGGCAACTGGAACAAAAATACAAATTAAGAAAAAAAAACCTCAGAAAACAAGAACGAGCCACCGGTTTGTAACCTGCGGATCCTTTCTTCTGCTGCCTTTCTACAGGCCGGTTTCCGGTTGGATCAGGTTCTGATTATCCCGCCAGGGCCACCTCTCCCAGGATGCCCCTTCACTACCTGCCATGGAAGACCATACCCCACCCCCTGACTGTAGGGTGTCACCCCCATGCTGGACTGCCACCTGGGCGTAGTGGAGATCGCATGGGCTTCGACTTGGATAGATTCCAGACGGCTGCTGTGCGGCCTTGATCAAGGCGCTGGCCCTCTCGGAGCCTCTGTTTCCCGTCTGGAAAACAAGTGAAGTAAAACTGTACTCACTAGGTTTTTGAAAGGACTAAACACAGTAAGACAGAAGCTCAAGTCAATCAGGACTAGGCCAAAATGGAATTTATGGGCCTAGCAAAGTGCAGAGTCCAGGATCGTGCACGGCTTCAGGAACGGTTGGATCCAGGGCTCGCACGGTGTCCTCGGCGCTTGGTCTGTTCACCTTAACTCTGCACTCCTTTGCGCTGGCTCCTTTTTCAGAGGCAGCCTAGTGTTTGTGGTGCCACAGTGGCTGCTGCCAACAGATCCGTAGTAACTCGGTTCTTTGAGCACTCGCCCTCTTCCCCGCAGGTTCCTCCAACGCCCCAAAACGGCCACTCCTGACTGGCTGGCCCTTTACCCTTCCCTGCACCATTCACTATGACTGGCAGATGCGCATTCTCCGAAATCGTCTCGTCCTTTGCTCCTTTGTTGCCTGTGCCCGGATAATTGATGTCTGTCACTGTTTCGAGACTGAGCTACGTGCCTTAGTAAATGGCCACAGGGGACACACACGGAGACCCCCAAGACGTGCCTACGCACGCACACACGTAGGTCGGCGAGAACCCCACACTTCTGGCCAAGACTCTACGAATCAGCAGGACACGTGACTGCAGCCCAGCGAACGGCAGGGTCATTACATGGTGGCATTGGTCACTGCACCCCCCCAGTCCCGTGGGGTGACACAATGGGCCCAGACGGTGACTGTGCAGGCGGTGGGGTACCCAGCGCGAGAAGAACTCGGGGCTAAGGGCCCAGCGCCTTCACACATACACACACACACACACACACACACACACACACACACGTCTTACTTGTCCGAAACTGGGGTGCTGGCCTGGGCCACCAGCAGTTCAGACGGGCGCTCTCCAAACTTACACGCGTGTGCCCATCACCTGGGGCTGTCTCTGATGCAGGAGGTCTGGGGTGGAGCGTGGGACTCTGTCTTTCTCCTTCTCCTTCTTCTTCTTCTTCTTTTTTTAATGTTTACTTATTTATTTTGGGGAGTGGGACGGGCAGAGAGAGGGGAGGCAGAATCCCAGGCAGGCTCCGCGCTGTCAGAGGAGAGCCGGACTCAGGGCTCAAACTCACAAACCACGAGATCACGACCTGAGCTGAAACCAAGAGTCGGACGCTGAACCAACTGAGCCGCCCCGGGCACCCTGGGACTCTGCGTTTGTAATAAGCGCCGGGTGATGCCCTTGGGGTTGGTCTGCGGACCACACATTGAGAAGTAAGGATTTAGGTGACTTTTGAGGTTTCTTTTAATTTTGAGATTCGGGGCAAGACCGGGAGAAGAGAAGAAAGAGCCAGTGAGAGGGGCAGGGGCAGGAAGGAGCAGCAAGGGGGGAGGAGGAGAAGACTGCTGAGGAAGTAAAGGCAGGGTGCCAGGCTTACAGGGCCCTCCCACCCATATTCCCCCAGCGTCTCCCTCCACAGACCTTCCCCTCCGGTCTCACCGTGCCCTGGGACCCCTTTCCTTGGAGCCGGAACGCCACGTGCTGTTTCCCCGGGGTCCTACCTCCCTAAATGGAGCCTCCAGCCCCGCAGGCGGGGGAAGTGTGGGTTTGAGAATACACAGGCCACCCTGGACAGGGGCCGGAGCAGGGAGGGCTGGGTGAGGGGCTGCCCGGCATAGACCCGTGGCAGTGGGCTCTTATCTCCCACCACCGTCCTCCTGGAGGCTTTGAGCAGGTCAGTCCCACCTGGGCCTGACTTTTCGAGCCAGGAAAGGAGGTGCCCTGGACCCAGTGGTCTGGGTGCAGGCTTTCAGCTCCCACGGCCTGCTGGAGGCAGTGGGATGGGAGAGCTCACTTTCTCCAGCCCTACTCCTTAAAAGCCACAGGGGACCTGGGTGCAGATGGCTTAAACTCCCCGCCTTCCTCATTAGCATCACGGGGGAGGGGGCGCAAGTCCCCTACCAGGGGACAGCAGGTGGTGGAGGGGAGCCCTCTCTGCCCACCCCCCTCCATCAGCAGAGGCCTCCCCTTCTGCTTCTCCCCGTTTTTGCTGGTTGCTCCCTGCCCGGGAGGTGGCAGAACAGCCTGCGGGTTATTTTTTAAACCATCATTACCAACACGCCTTTTAAAACTTTTTGTTAGATAGAAGAGTGTAAGAAACTTCCGTGTACCTGTCATGCAGCCTCAACAATCAATAACTCATAGGCGTTACTAATCTATTTTTTTTTTTTTAATGTTTAGTTTTTTATTTAGAGAGAGAGAGAGCAAGGAGGAGTACAGAGGGCGGGAGCGAGAGAATCCCAAGTAGGCTCCACGCTGTCAGCACAGGGCCCGACGCGGGGCTCAAACTCATGAACTGCGAGATTATGACCTGAGCCAAAATCAAGAGTTGGATGCTTAACAGACTGAGCCATCCAGGTGCCTCTACTAATCTATTTTTTAAATCCAAAATGCACGAATCCGGTGTAAAACTCTGTTGGATGTAAGACCCTTTCCTCCTCTCGCCCTCTGGCCCGGGAGCAGAGGCAACCACAGATTAAGAATATTCTCTGGGGGCGCCTGGGTGGCGCAGTCGGTTAAGCGTCCGACTTCAGCCAGGTCACGATCTCATGGTCCGTGAGTTCGAGCCCCGCGTCAGGCTCTGGGCTGATGGCTCAGAGCCTGGAGCCTGTTTCCCATTCTGTGTCTCCCTCTCTCTCTGCCCCTCCCCCGTTCATGCTCTGTCTCTCTCTATCCCAAAAATAAATAAACGTTAAAAAAAAAAATTAAAAAAAAAAAAAAAAAAAGAATATTCTCTGGGCCTGTTTATTTTATATAAAACTTACACAGCTTACTCGCTTCGTGTCAGTTGCCATTCTAAGTATATTACAAATATGAACTCATTTAATCCTAACAGCCTTACCAGGTAGGTGCCCCCAAGCACAGAGAGGTTAAGGAACCGCCCCCAACATCACACAGTGCTAAGTGAAGCAGCTGGGAGTCGAATCTAGGCAGCCGAGGACCAGAATCTGTTCTCTTAACCACCATTTTCTGCGGCCTCTCAACTTAGGCTATCTTGCCCCGGGTTTTGTTTTCACCACCGATTCCGTAACCCATTCAACAAACGTTTATCGTGTGCTCACTTTGCACCAGGCACGGTTCCCCTTGCGGGGGATCCGGCACTAAACGGAAGGTCAACATCTCTCTGCCCTCCTGGAGTTTACATTCTGCCTGGGGAGACAGAGAGCAAATAATATAAACGGGCACCACGTCGATTTGGTGGTGAGTGGTGCTCAGGGCAAAAATCCAACAGGGGAGGCGGGGCAGGACTGGTCAGGAGCCGGCAACTTTACGTAGGTGGCACAGAATGGGACACTGAGTAGAGAAAGGCCCCGACGGGAGTGAGGGAGCCCCGCGGGTCTCTGGAGGAGGAGCATTCCAGGCAGAGGGAACAGCCGGTGCGAAAGGCAAGACAGGAGCATGGGGTGCTGCAGGCCGAGCGAGGCAGCCCTCTGGCTGGGGTGGGAGGGAGGGGGCACCCCGTAGGCGCGGAGGGCGCAGAGGGCAACGGCGTCTTGTCTGGAGAGCTTTGCTGTTTGCCGCGTGTGACACGGGGCTCCGCGGAGGGTTTGATCCGACAGGTTGTAACAGGCTCACCCGGCTGGCCGCGGGCTGGAGGATGGACAGCAGGTCAGAGTGGAAGCCGGGAGACAGTCAGGCTGCCCCTGAAGCCCTTCAGGCCGGAGGGAGACGTGGCCCCGACCACGGTGGTGGCCACGGTGGGAGCCAGACGGTTGTCCCATCACCTCCCGCCCTGAAACAGCCGCCCGTGGGCCCTGTCATTTACTCAACCAGCCTCCAGACAACTCGTTGGTTATTTCCGGTCTTTTGCTGTTCTAGACCGCGCTGCGGTGAATACTCTCGCACGTGTATCTCAGTGAAATTCCTAGAAGTGAAATCACCGGACAGAAGGTCATGTGCATGTTTTTTAAAGGTTCCCGGCATATACTGCCCTTCACAGATACACCAGCAGTGCGTGGGAGAGAGTGCTCAGGTGATAGCTGCCGGCCATGGGCTTGGGGGACCAGGGTGCCAGCGGGGAGATGTCGTGGGCGCTCCTCGTTTGCCCCTTGGGAGGCCAAGGCGCCAAGGCAGAGTCTTTTTTTTTTTTTTTTAAGGTTATTTTGAGAGAGAGAGAGAGAGAGAGAGAGAGCATGGGGGTGGGACAGAGAGAGAGAGGGAGACAGAGAATCCCAAGCAGGCTCTGGCTGTCAGCGCCGAGCACGACGCCGGGGGCTCCCAACTGTGAGATGGTGACCTGAGCCGAAATCAAGCGCTTACCTGAGCGAGCCACCCAGGCACCCCAAAGCAGCGTCTTTACAGAGGCACAGCCAGAATAGGTAGGCAGGTGCCTCGACCTGTGGTCGGGCAAGTACCAGGGGGGATGGTGACAGCTGCACAGAATAGAGACCCGCCCTAGGGGGCTCGAGTAACAAAGAGGCATAACAGGGGGTGCACAAGTAGGCCGATTGCAGGAGCAGTTGACTCCCTTGTCCGCTGATGTCCCCGTCCCTGAGATGTTTTCCAACACCAGCCCGTTCTTTGGTTCTCTAACACCAGCTAGGTGTCCCAACGGCTCAATTCAGTTCTAAAGCCACCCAGAGTTAGCCCTGGTCCCCACAGATTGAAGACTCAGTCCCACGAGACCGTCCCCACTTCAGGGGGAGCTGGGGGGGGGTGCTCCGTCAGTGAAGCGTCTGATTCTTCATTTCAGCTCAGGTCCCTGAACTTGAGCCCCGCATCTGGCTCCATGCTGACAGCACGGAGCCTGCCTGGGATTCTCTGTCTCCCTCTCTCTCTGCTGGAGACCGGCTGCAGGTCCTGGGGCACCTGTGTTCCTTCTCCTCAGCTTCTATCATTTGGTCGAATGACTCACAGGGTTGAGAAAGTGCTTTACTTACAGTCACCGGTTTATTATAAAGGATACAACTCAGGAATAGCCAGATGGAAGAGACCTCGCACAGGGTTAAGTACGTGGGAAGGAGTGTGGAGCCTCCGCCTCCCGGCATCTCACGTGCTCGCTGACCAGGAAGCCCTCTGAATCTCGTTCGAGAATTGTTGAGGCCACTTCCTGAGTGAGAGAGCATATTTGCAGATCGTGTATCTGATAAGGGATTAATATCCGAAAGATGCAAAGAACTCATGCCATTCGAGAGCAAAAAACCCAAACAATCCTATTAAAAGGTGGGCAGAGGATGTGCCCGCAGAGCACACAGGTGAATGTGGATGCAAAAATTCTCAGCGAGATACTAGCCAACCGGATCCAACGAGACATTAAAAGGATTATTCACCACGATCGAGTGGGATTTATATCTGGGATGCAAGGCTGGTTCAATATCCACAAATCAATCAGTGTGATACATCACATTAATAGAACGGCTATCGTCAGAAGGGCAACAGGTAGCGAGTGATGGCCAGGATGCGGAGAAAAGGGAACCCGGGCACTGCTCTGGGGCTGTAAGTTGGTGCCGCCACTGTGGAAGACGATATGAAGGTTCCTCAAAAAACTAAAAGTAGAAACACCATATGATCCAACGTTTCCACTTCTGGGCATTTATCCAAAGAACGAAAACGCAGTTGTGAAAAGATCCCTGCACTCCCATGTTTATGACAGCCAGGGCATGGAAACCACCCAAGTGTCCACGGACAGGTGATTGGGGAAAGATGTGATATAGATACACGACGGAATACCATTTACCCGTATAAAAGAATGAATTCTTGCCGTTTGTGACAGCATGGGTGGACCTCGAGGGCATTGTGCTAAGTCACGTAAGTCAGACGCAGACAAATACTGTACGGTCTCGGGGCGCCTGGGTGGCTCAGTCGGTTAAGCGTCCGACTTCAGCTCAGGTCACGATCTCGCGGTCCGTGAGTTCGAGCCCCGCGTCGGGCTCTGGGCTGATGGCTCAGAGCCTGGAGCCTGCTTCCGATTCTGTGTCTCCCTCTCTCTCTGCCCCTCCCCCGTTCATGGTCTGTCTCTCTCTGTCTCAAAAATAAATAAACGTTAAAAAAAAAAATTAAAAAACAAAAAAAACTGTACGGTCTCCCTTCTCCATGGGATCGAAACCAAAGCAGACCAAGCTCAGAGACATGGAGAACAGATTGGTGGTTGCCAGAAGGGTGGGGGAGGGGGGAGGCGAAAAGGATGAAGGGAGACAGAAGAGACAAACTCGTAGGTGTAAAAGAAACAAGTTCTGGGGGTGAAATGCCCAGCGAGGTGACCATAGTTACTAATACTGTATTGCATATTTGAAAGGTGCCAAGGAAGTAGATCTTAAGTGTTTTCATCACAAGAAAAAGGCATTCTGTAACTACGATGAATGCTACCTGCACCTGCTGTGACGATCATTTCGCAGTGTAGACAAATACCAAGTCATTACCTTGTAGACCCAACACTAATGTAATGTTGTGAGTCAACTATGCCTCAATTTAAAAACCTAAGAATCTTTGTAGATCTCAATCTCCAGCCCCCCTGCCCTCCCAGGAGGTCAGTGGGTGGGGGCTGGAAGTTCTGACTTTCTAAACACTGGGTCTCCGGGACCCTCCCCATTTTGAGGCTATGTAGGGACCCCACCGGAAGTCACTCATTAGCAAAAACTCAGGTGTGCTAGTAAGGGGCTCCTCATGAATAACAAAAGACGCTTCTATTACTTGGGAAGTTCCAAGGGTTTCAGGTGTTCTTTGCCAGGAACTGGGGACAAAGAACAGATATATTACTTATTATACCACACCTTCCCTCTGCTCTGCCTACCAGCTTCCTTCTAAAGGGTGCTTCCCGAGGAACGTGGCTGCTTTTTGTAGCAATGGCTGCATCCTTTCTTATTCAAGTCCTGAGATCAAAGTCCTTTTCTTCCTTTGACGGGCCTGAGTTGGTCAGGTGTCTGACCTTGACCTCCTCCGGAGGGGAATGTCAGGTGCTGGTGAAAGGCCAGGTCCATGATCCAGTAATTGGGGAGGGGGGTGGTATTGCCATAATCAGCTTAGATTCATCTGAGCCCATACCTGGAGCTGACGGTAGGCTCAGCTTCTGAATCTTATAGGTCCTGGGAGGGAGGTGTCGCACCTGAACAGTGTTCGGTTCTGTTAGTGGGGAGGAAAGGGGGAAGGGGATTCAGGTACCATCAGTGTCCCCTGTCAGAAGCAAACACATAAAAAGGTGTCACTCTTGGGAACGCCTGGGTGGCCCCATCGGTTTAGTGTCTGACTTTGGCTCAAGTCATGATCTCACGGCTCGTGAGTTCAAGCCCCGCGTTGGGCTCTGTGCTGACAGCTCGGAGCCTGGAGCCTGCTTCGGATTCTGTGTCTCCCTCTCTGTCCCTGCCCCACTCATGCTCTGTCTCTCTCCGTCTCACTCTGTCTCAAAAAATAAACGTAACACATTTTTTTCAAAAAAAGGTGCCACTCTTGACCGCCTTCCCCACTTGACTCAAGAAAGTTTACAGTGCTTCTCCCAACCTACTTCTTTTTACGTTTTATTTTGAGAGAGAGAGAGAGAGCACGCGCGTGCAAGCTAATGAGTGGGGGAGGGGCGGAGAGAGAGAGAGAGAGAGAGAGGGAGAGAGAGAATCCCAAGCAAGCTCTCGCCTCTTTGCTGTCTGTGCTGAGCCCAGCTGGGGGCTTGACCCCAGGATCCGAGAGACCGTGACCTGAGCAGAAACCAAGAGTCGGATGCCTAACCAACTGAGCCACCCAGGCGCCCCTCTCCCAACCTCTTTTTATCAAAATCTTATCCATGGTGGAGTCAACCTGTTACCTTTAAAAGGTTCAGCAGGAGGGACCTCCTGGGGAGAATGTGCTCACCTGCCCCCCAGCTAGCTGTACCGCTGATGCTTCCCCAGAAACCGCTTTGCAGACAAAGCCTGGAACCCAATTGGGAGCCTCACTGGCCGGACCCCAGTTCCTCCAGCTGCAAAATCACAGGCTGGACTGGGTTAGTTTCCCCCATGGAAGTTCTTTGCTCTTCCTCTTCAGCGCCGACTTAAAAAATAGAGCGTTATAGGGGCGCCTGGGTGGCGCAGTCGGTTAAGCGTCCGACTTCAGCCAGGTCACGATCTCACGGTCCGTGAGTTCGAGCCCCGCGTCGGGCTCTGGGCTGATGGCTCGGAGCCTGGAGCCTGTTTCCGATTCTGTGTCTCCCTCTCTCTCTGCCTCTCCCCCGTTCATGCTCTGTCTCTCTGTGTCCCAAAAATAAATAAACGTTGAAGAAAAAAAAAATTAAAAAAAAAAAAATAGAGCGTTACCAACATCGTCTAAGCCCCTTCCTTATCCCTTTCCAGTTATGCCCAAAGATTATCCCTGACGCGTCTTCTTTTTTTTTTTTTTTTTTTTTTAATGTTTATTTTTGAGTGAGCGCAGGGGAGCGGCAGGGAGAGAGGGAGACACAGAATCCGCACCAGGCTCCAGGCCCCGAGCTGTCAGCACAGAGCCCCACACAGGGCTTGAACTCATGAACCCCGAGATAACGACCTGAGCCAAAGTCGAACGCTTAACCGACCGAGCCACCCAGGCGCCCGTGCCACTAACGGGCTTCTAACACTGCAGTTTTGCCTGCTTTTTAAACTTTATAGAAATGAAATTATACCGTATGTACCCTTTGGGGCTCGTTTCTTTCCTCGGCATTGTGACTACATACTATAGCGTGTAGTTGTGGTTTGTTTATTCTCATTTCTACATAGTAATCTACCCGCTGAGCTATTTTGTAAACATAAAAAGTTTAATGAATGTTGTACGGTTCTCTGTAATCAGCAGGACAAATGAATGAGCACACCAGATTTCTCCGCTTTTGCCTGGGATGATAGCGGCTAACCGGTTTACCCTGGTTAATCCTGGTTATCGCACACCGGTGTATATGGGAAAAACTAGGAAAATGAACGAGTCATTACACAATGCGTGCAGGCTTTTTGGCAGATAAAATCTTTCGAAATGGGAATCGTAGAGAAAAACACAAATAGAAGTCTTCATGATCGAAATATCAGGGCCCTTACTGGCCAATCAGTCGATTTGCATTCATTCATGAAATATACAGCAAGTGCCACTTATATGCCTGGTATTCAGTCTCTAATTTTGTTTTTTGTTTTTTGTTTTTTTTTAATTTTTTTTTTTTTAATGCTTATTTATTTTTGAGACAGAGAGAGACAGAGCATGAACGGGGGAGGGTCAGAGAGAGGGAGACACAGAATCCGAAACAGGCTCCAGGCTCCAAGCTGTCAGCACAGAGCCCAACGCGGGGCTCGAACTCACGGACTGCGAGATCGTGACCTGAGCCGAGGTCGGCCGCTCAACCGTTCAGTCTCTAATTTTGAAGCCTCCTTCCTCCCGACCAATTGGTTGGGTCTCAGCATCCGGTGACGAAGTCGGTGAGGGTGGCAGAACCTGAGACATTATTATCTTTGCTAGCAGTTCTTAAATTTAATGAGTATGAAGAGTATAAATGAGGGGCGCCTGGGTGGCGCAGTCGGTTAAGCGTCCGACTTCAGCCGGGTCACGATCTCGCGGTCCGTGAGTTCGAGCCCCGCGTCGGGCTCTGGGCTGATGGCTCAGAGCCTGGAGCCTGTTTCCGATTCTGTGTCTCCCTCTCTCTCTGCCCCTCCCCCGTTCATGCTCTGTCTCTCTCTGTCCCAAAAATAAATAAACGTTGAAAAAAAAATTAAAAAAAAAAAAGAGTATAAATGAGCTTTAAAGAGTTAAGTGACTTTTTTTTTTAAGTTTTTAAATTTATTTGGAGAGAGGGAGATAGAGAGTGCATACACCTGTGAGCAAGAGTGGGGGAGGGGCAGAGAGAGAAGGAGAGAGAGTCCCAGGCTGCTCAGTGTAGAGCCCGACTCCCGGCTTCGTCTCACGAATCATGAGACCGTGACCGGAGCTGAAATCCAGAGTTAGAAGCTTAACACACTGACCCACCCAGGTGCTCTGAGACTTTCTTTTTTCTCATAAGCAAAAGGAAGAAAAGAGAACCACATGGGATCTGCCAGAATATATTCTCCTAGGCCTGTGTGTGCAAATCCATGTTTCTTTTTTTATATATGCATTTTAATGTTTATTTATTTTTGAGAGAGGGAATGAGCCGGGGAGGGGCAGACAGAGAGGGGGACAGAGGATCCAAAGCAGGCTCAGGCTCTCTCAGCAGAGAGCCCGATGTGGGGCTCGAATTCACTAACTGTGAGATCATGACCTGAGCCAAAGTCGGACGCTTAGCCGAGTCACCCAGGTGTCCCAATCCATATATATTTCTAAAATGGAATTATTTTATATCTATCTTTCCACAACTTTCTTTTTTTTTTTAATTTTTTACTGTTTATGTATTTTTTAAATTTTTTTTTAACGTTTATTTACCCTTGAGAAAGAGAGACAGAGCATGAACGGGGGAGGGCCAGAGAGAGGGAGACACAGAATCCGAAACAGGCTCCAGGCTCCGAGCGGTCAGCACAGAGCCCGACACAGGACTCGAACTCATGGACCGCAAGATCACGATCCGAGCCGAAGTCGGCCGCCCAACCGACCGAGCCACCCAGGCGCCCCCTGTTTATATATTTTTGAGAGACAGAGTGTGTGGGGGGGAGAGGCAGAGAGAGGGAGACAGAATCCAAAGCAGGCTCCAGGCTCTGAGCTGTCGGCACAGAGCCCGATGCGGGACTCGAACCCATGAACTGGGAGATCACAACCTGAGTTGAAGTTGGACGCCTAACCGACTAAGCCACCCAGGCGTCCCAACAACCTTCATCTTTAAAAATAGATTTTATTTTCTGGAGAAGTTCTAGATTCACAATAAAACTGAGGGGAATGTGCGGAGAGCTTCCAT